TAAACCCTAAACCCTAAATCAGTAATGTCTAGTCAGAATTCTCGTCGCCTTTCCAGTACAGCTGGCGGAAGGCGTGAGTCGCAGCTGTTTTGCAAACGGCCAAATGCCGTGGCAGGACTTCGGATGTCATAGAACTGAAGGAGGTCAGAAGGAGGTGTAGGGTTTAGGGTTTGGGAGGGTGGGCCAGTATAAATCACAAATGGCCTGAATGCAGACAAGCCAGAGTCTAGGCTATGCAGCGTTGAAAAGCCTCCTCTTGACCCCCTAAGCTTCAACGAATTTCACAGACCCATATAGCTGGGGTTTTAATGCCTTTTCCAGCCTTAGTGCAGCCGGGGTTTCATGGTGTACTGCTCCTGGCTTCCCAAGTGAGAAGAGGGCCTTGGTCCTCTGGAGGGAGTTGGAAAGTAGAAAAACAACATACTTTGAAGACTGTCAGAAAAATCAGCAGTTTGCTTCGGGACTTGGGAACCAAAAAAGATGACCCCCGGCCGCAAGAGGATCACGCCTCGTTTTGCAGACTTCGCGACACGCAGGATGTAGAAATGGAAGATGCAGCAGGGAGGATGCGAGTTGGAAGCAAGCGGAAGCCTGTAGTACATAGTATCCAAGAATGTGTCTGAATGCTGGGGAATTATGGCTTGTAAGCCTTTGGTTAAGGCACGACACTCACCCCTCTAATGGACATTCCCCGAGTACATGGTGTATATGGAGAACATTTACTATCCCTGGAATGCAGTCGGGAAATGTTGTTGAATCAATATGGTGGTCACCCATGCTACTGAGCCCAAATAATAGCTTCCTTAAAAAGGGGAACCCAATATAGGCCCCAAAATATTGTAAGCCTTAATATAGGTACCCCCAAAAAGGGTACCTCCTAGTTTCGGGAAACCCCGAATACTGAGAGTACCTATACAAGAGCAGGTTCAGCCACGAGCCATACTGCAGGGCAATGTTTAGGGGTTTAAGGGGTTAGGGTTTAGGGCTTAGGGTAACCTCACCCTAAACCCTAAACCCTCGGCACAAGCACTATGAGCATCCAGGTTCCAACCCTGTACCTGGGAAAAATCGGAAGAATTGCAAACTCTGGCCATAGGTTCTGCCCCCCCACCCAGAAAGGGGGTTAGGGTTTAGGGTTATATAACGGTTAGATTACATTTATGTATATATAGAGGCCTTAACAGTAACCCAATTACAGATTGCTACTGCGTGGGGCAGTACCTAAACTCAACCTCAAAAGTGATCCGTGGCGTGGATGCTAAACCCTGAAACCTAACGCCAAACTCCAAAGCCAAAACATCTTCTGTCCGACCAGCAGCTTTGCTGCCCAAGCTGGAGGATAGTAGACATGCCCAAGCTGACAACAGGCCCTATACAAAAGGGTTAACGATGGTTAGGTTAAGGGTTTAGGGTTTCTGGGAATTGTTCGCGATTGTATGGGGCTGTTTCCATCCCAGTAATGGAGGATCAACTAGAACAGAGAATTGAAACTGAACTGTTTTTTTGCAGTGTGGCCTTGCCCCAAGACACGTTGGCACAACAGACCGGGAGACAAGAAGCCTGCTTTTGTGTTGAAGTTTGCCCATGGCGGGATGCCACTACAGAGTCAAGCTCGGGTCGCTCTTTGTTGCCCTGGGCTTGTTGCTTGTGGCAGGGCGAATAAAGGCTTTTGTAGGCAGAGCGCACATCAGCAGGACTTGCTGCAAAGCCAGGAACTTCGAGTCGGAGCTGTCAGTGGAAGAGATGCTAAGACTGCAACGGCAGCGCTCACTGCAGAAGGATTCCCGAAATGAAGGGAGCCTACAAACGGGGGAGTCGAAGGAAGAGCAGCGAGTTCTTACCCCAGAGGTATTGCCAAGAAAGCCATGCTGGATCAGCTCGAAACCTATAGCAGAGCTGCCATGTGTTTTCGCACCTCAGGAGGAAGGTGTGCGTGAGCTGGGGTCGGCGATTGAGCTGAAGTTCTGGCAGAGTCCGTATATCCGACTCTGGGATTATGCCTGCAAGCAGACATCTGGGGTGGTTGCTGCTGGGTTGCTGTTAAGGAACTTAAATTAAGTTACCAGAATGGGTATATATGTAGATATAGTAAATAGTATAGGGTCTGCCCAATATAGTAACTTGAACTAAGTTCCGTAACAACAACCCAGGCTGTTCGATATAGCCGCGGCTCGCTTTCTCGAAGTCCCCACACCTTTGCCTTGTGGCCTGCAATGCCCAGGGAGCGTTGCGTGCTCAGGTCACCTCTGTGTATGTGCATAGGGTACTGCACCCACTCAGTCACAGCTTCATAACACTTATAATATAGTGCTATATAGCTCTGAATATCACCCCTATGATGGACTGTTACTGGGTGAGGACAGTACCCAGTATGATATGCGCACATAATTTCCATGTTAGCAGAGTTGTCATTTGAAAACGGCCTGCCATCAATGAACATTGAAAGTGTTAGAGGGTTCCAGACATTCACATCAGACTACGGTTTCTTGAGAATTCCTGCGGCCAAGGCGGTATGCGCGGCTTGGTCCTGGGCATGTTCAACTTAAGCGCGGGGATCCAAGTAGCGAAGAATCAGCCAGCTGCACAGGCGTGTCATGGCACATTGTGAGGTGAAAACCATCAGTCCTTTTCCGATCCTACGCCTCAAACGGCCTCCAGATGAAACAGACGAGGCCCTCTTGGCACATTGATCCATATCCCCCAAAGGATCCCAAAAATGGAATCCCCCAATAATCCCCTAGTTTCCCCATTGTAATACTGGGTTCATATTGGGGGGGGAGTCCTTTTTTTGGATCCTTTAGGGGGTCTGGGGACACGAGCCATAGTCTAAACCCTAAACCCTAAATTCCTAGTATCTGCCTTAAGAAGCACTATCCTAGTCCCCCCTATATAAGCCCTTGTACAATCCCCCTTTAAGGAGTTTAGACTATGGCTCACATGCTGTTGAAACATAACAATCATATACTTACCCAAGAGCTGTGCTGTAGTTGCCCTTACCCAAGACCAAAGTACCTGTTGATGGGGTACATGGACCCTCAGGGTTGTTTGCACAATGAACTTAACCCTAAACCCTAAATGGTAGTTTCCATTGTCCCCATATTGTCCCTATATTACCCCGATAAAACCCGATAAAACCCTATAAGACCACATAAAAGGCCATTTGACATGTTGTTGAAACATGCAGCTTGAGCCATAGTCTGAATTCCCAGAATCTCCCTTAACAACCCCCATAGTAGTCCCCCTATGTAATCCCTTATATAACACCCTTTCCAGGAGGTTGGACCCCAAACCCTAAACCCTATATAATCCTGTATAAACCCCTTCAAGGAGTTTAGACTATGGCTCATATATAGCAGCTTTCATTTCATCATCCATGTTCTTTTCCATTTGACTCTCCATTAGTAGGGTATATAACCCTCAACCCTAAACCCGCAAACCCTGAACCCTAAACCCGTAAAACCTAATCCGCTATATAAGCACCTTTAAGGAGTGTAGACTATGCTCATACTGTTGATGGATGAAATCTTGCACTACCTAGGGGCCTTAAACTATTGTAATTCCTAGGACTTTAGGGACTTAAGGACTTAAGGTGGTGCAAGATTTCCTCCATCAACAGTAGTAACCCTAAACCCTATATAATCCCCTATATAAGCCCCTTTGTGGAGTTTAGACTATGCTCATATGAGTAGTATTTTATTTGGGGATACTATGGTACCCAATATAGAGTAAGATTCTATCCTCCTTTTGGGGTATAGAATTTTATGTAAGGAATATTATCTTACTAGGTTCAACCACCAAAAAACACTAATCACATAATCCCCTATATAAATCCTTTTAAGGAGTTTAGACTATGCTCATATGTTGTTGAAACAATCCCTATAGTACCCTTAAGAAAATCCTTTAAAACACCTATAGAAACCCTATAAAACCCCATAAAACCCTATAAGACCCTATAAAAGGCAACAACATGCAGCTTGCTTGCCTTGCAGGTGCGTGAGGCTCGGGATCCTGCAGAGCTGAATGCCTACTTGCGAAGCTCGACCGCCTTCTTAAAGGGCCGGGGCCGGGGGGGTGGTTATGTAGGGGAGTATATTATGATATAGGGTTTGGGGGGGGGTTATGTAGGGGAGTATATGATGTAGGGTTTAGGGTTTAGGGTATAGGGTTTAGGGAATAGGGTTTAGGGTTTGGGGTTTAGGGTATAGGGTTTAGGGTTTAGGGTTAAGGGTTAAGCATTCAGCCGCAATAATATGAGCTATTGTCTAAGCTCCTTAAAGGGGAGGATTGTGTAGGGGGTAACATTAGGGAGTATTATAGCGGTTCTTGAGGGGGATACTAGGAGTTTAGACTATAGCTCACATGATGCTTATTTGCATGTTTTCATGCTGCGAGAAAGCGCAATCACAGGAAGTTTGGGAGACGAATCCGCACAAGGAGTTGCTATCCGCGTGGGGGCCTTAGTGACCTCAGTGGTAACCTGAGGCTTACGTCTAGTCATGGACCTTTTCTCTTCCGACCCTAATGCCTGGCCTAAGCCCTAATCCCTAAACCCTATAAACCCTAATCCCTAAACCCTATAAACCTTGATCCCTAAACCCAAAAAAACCCTAATGCCTAAACCCTGAGCCCTAATCCCGAAACACCCCAATCCCTAAACCCTATAAACCTTAATCCCTAAACCCTATAAACCTTTATCCCTAAACCCTATAAACCCTAATCCCTAAACCATATAAACCTTAATCCCTAAACCCTATAAACCCTAAACCCTATAATCCCTAAACCCTAATCCCTAGACCCTAAGCCCTAAACCCGAAACCCGAGGATATGTCAACTGCTGACCGCTACGCTCTGCTTGGCTGGCTGGCAGACGGTGGGAGTCCTTGCGATAGTTCACAGTAGTTAGGGTTTAGGGTTTAGGGTTTAGGGTTTTAGGGTAGGGTTTAGGGGTTAGGGGTTAGGGTTTAGGGTTTGGTCCGGCTTTTGGTTAGGAATGGAAAAGAGAATGGAAACTACTATATGAGCTATAGTCTAAACTCCTTGAAGGGGGGCTTATAATGGGGGGGTTACTGTAGGGGTTATTAAGGGGGATACTAGGAGTTTAGACTATGGCTCATATATAGAGTTTAGGGTTTCGGGTGGGCATGGAGGAACGGAAAAAAAAAGTGGAAACTATTAATATACCGGGTTATGTAGGAACTACTATGAGGATCCATTCCTTCATTCCTAGCTAACCAAAGGCCAGTAGCCTGTAGCGGTTTAGGGTGCAGGCCGTGCCCACAATGCTCGTGTCACAAAAAGCTTCCTTGAAGCGAATGCATTGCTTGGAGGGTCACAGGGGGACTTAGTAAGTGTATTTATAAGCCCCTCCAGCAGTAGAGTAATTAGCCACAGTTACACCCCTATTATTAACCTGCTCAGTAAATCATACTGAATCCCACTGGCCCTGCAAGTAACTTGTGCTCAAAGTGCCACGCGCTGCAGGTTGCCAGCGTCTTGCATCTTCCTTTGAAGGCAGTGCCTGGTGCTCAAGCAGAAGGTAGAAGCGTGTACAAATGCCAACATGATCCACTACAAATCTCGCTATACTCATCGTCTAATATAATGTAGACCCGTGATTACTAACCCCCCTCCTTTTAAGGGCCTAAATATTAGGATCTCCATGAAATCCCTATCAGGGGAGGGGGTTTATTGATCAGGGGTCTGGGTTGCCCGGCTCATATTGCAGCTATTTAGGCCCGTCACAACTTTTGTATCAAGAACTTCTTCCGCCGAATATCTGCCGATCTGTTCCTTCGCCCCTAGTAGAATCATGAAACTCCGAATCCTAAACTCAAGCCCTATACATCCTGAAGCCTTGATCCTGAACAGGAACATAACCCCAAACCCTAAACCAGTCTAAACCCAAAACCCTAAGCCCTCAACCAGGTCTCTTAGGGCTTCAAGTCTCAGGCAACAAGCTGGCGCCCGGGAACGAGACCTTAACCCGTAGTTGAGTGTCTTCGGGTTTTAGGGTTTAGAGTTTCGGTTTTAGGGTTTCTTGTTTTAGGGAACCCCACCCACAAAACTGGGTTTAGGGCTTAGGGGCATGGAGTCTGCATATGGTCCCACCCTAAACCCTGTACCTTGGAGGTACGCCTTTGGGTTTAGGGTTTAGGGTAAATCAAAACTCGCGATGGGCCGGCAGAGACATCGCAGCCCTTGGCATGCCTGCCGTGTTTTGTCAGGTTTACGGGATATTGGGTATGGATTGGGTACTGCCCCCANNAGGGCTATATATAACCGTATTATAACTATGATCCAACTGTTACTGAGAGGGGGCAGTACCCAAGGTATAGATAGAGGATTTTGGGAGTGACAAGCAAGGAGAACAGGGTTTTGGGCCTCAGGTGGTGGATTTGGAAGGCTTGTAGGTGGTAAGAAGTAAGGCTTGAAGCCCTTCAAACGATGTTCAAGCAGCTTTGCCTATAGTTATGGTGCCCCTTAAGTAGACAGAATATGGAAGTCAGAAAAATGATATTAAGATCCCCATACATCCTATATTCTACCTATTTCGGGGGGAATATATCCTTTTTCGAACCCAACTATGACTACCCATCAAAATCCAACTCGATTTCGGGGCTTCTTATTTGAGTCGTAAGAGTTCTCAGGGAAGCTTTAAGGGGGCGTCACGTTGGGCCACCTAAACCCTAAACCACAGGAAGCCGCAGGAAGGAGTTAGACATGTCTGCGCTTGTTTACGGGTTTTCATGGTTTCGCGGTCCCATGAAAGAATCCTCACAATTTACTTTGAGACGTGGGGTTTCTTGTTTTGGGCTCTGGGGGCTTGACCCTTCAGATTCAGCGTTTTAGGTGTTTGAGGTATGGGGATTGGGCATTGCGATCTGATTCAGAACCTTTTTGGAGGTCCCCAAATGGCTGCTAACATCGGATTTCATCTGTGGAGTCCCCATGTGAGCTACAGTCTAAACTCTTTAAAGGGGGTTATATAGGGGATTACTATAGGGGTTATTAAGGGGGATACTAGGAGTTTAGACTACAGCTCATGTAGGTATACTGTATATACTTACGGGGTTCTCATGTACTTACCCTAAACCCTAAACACTAATAAGGGCAACTACATCCTGCAAGTCTAGCCTAAACCCTCGACCTAAACGCCCCAAAGCCTATCTATCTGTATGTACTGATAAATGTTCGTTAGAGTTGTCCTAAAGGCTAGCTAGTAAAAA